TATTCATTTAAAAAGGTATTTCTATATTTCAAGGCTGAGAAAAACCTTTTATCAAGCCTTTCTTTTTATATTCGGCAATCTACAATCAATACAACAAATACATTTCATATCGAGTTGCTTTCGGTTCACACCAAATCAAACATCGAGTCCCCATTCGCCGCGGCCATGTCTCGATTACACACAGTTGAATTGAGAGACACGAGACAAGCGCCTCTATCAGAGTCTTAAAACTAATAACAGGCAAAACAACTTGAGTCCCCTTCGTGCCGTGTGCGTATCTCATATCTGAGTTGCTTCCAGCTATTTGCACACAAACAAAAATAAATATTAAATCTCTGGCTGACGAAAGCGAAATCGTTTTGTGCCGGAGAGATAGAGAGTGGGGGAGGGAGAAGTGAGAGGAGTCTCTGGCCACAGTCTTGCTCACTCCAGAGAGTAGGAAAAAAACACCCTCAGGTTTCGATTTGCGGCTTACGACTTACGGTTTACGGTGGCACGCGCTTATCGAGCTGAGAGCAGCGTTTAGTTTGTGATTGAGTGGGTGGACGTGTGGATTGACAGCATGAATCGGCTGAATCAACAAGCAGACCACCACATCCATGCCCATTTGCCGATGACCAGGCCACAATTCCAACTGCGCTCGAGTTGGCTGCTTTCGTGGGCTTCTGGCGAGAACTTTAAAGCCGTCTTGCTGCAGCTGGTAATTAAAACCGAAAGCCTTTTCCTGTCAGCTATCCATAAGCGGATGAGCCAAAGCGTAACCCACTCCAATTAAGGATGTCGCTACGAAAAGCCATACATCATTGAAGCCACGGGGAATCCCAAACAAAGATGACAACGCGCTGCCAGTGGGAGAAAAAGTCTACAAAAGTTATTTTGTAATTAGTGCAAGAGTTACAACAACAACAACAACAACAACAAGAGCAACAACGACAACAGCCAGAGCAACAACAATTTGTTGCTGACTGAAATTGAAGTCGACTTCTGGGCGCCGTTGCACTAATTACCGCTGACGTGGCTCTGCCTCGGTCCGCCCCGCCCCACCGCACCGCCTGTCGCGCCTGTCAGCTCAAGTTTGACACTTTTTTCGCACAATTTATGAGACGGGGCAGACAGCCACGCCTATACATTATCGAGGGCTGCACAGTGGGCACTGATTACAAAGTTCAAATCAAGCTTAAAAATCTGTTACTCCAGTGGGGACATAGCTCAGCGGTAGAGCATTCGACTGCAGATCGAGAGGTCCCTGGTTCAAGTCCGGGTGTCCCCTAAAAATCGTATATTTTTTTTAAATAATTAAATCTGGGAAGTAGTCATGATTTCATTAAAGCTAGATTTTTTAAGGCTCAAGTTCAAGATAAGCTTAGAAGTTCAAAAATGTTGTGGGAATGGAGAGTGTACGGGGTTGTAATCCGGTGTTGTCACATTACTAAAAATCGTTTATTTTTTACACTACAAATTTATTAGCTTGACTATGAAACGATTTGAAAATTATACTTTTTTTTTTATAGATGTATCAATATATATTTTAATTAGATTGTTAGTTTTAGGCTTGAATAAATGAGAAAAAGAAAATTCGGGAGGATTTATGTAATTAAGTAACATGGAGGTATAGCTCAGTGATAGAGCACTCGACTCGAGATTGAGATGTACCCGGTTCAAGCCAATTGGTTCCCTATTCAAGTCAGACTATTTGTTGATGAGTTCAGTTTATTGCTATTCAAATTAACGATATGACCCACTGTGCCTTGTTTGTGGGATGACACTTGAGCTGCAGCAGCAGAGCTCCCATGGTTGGGCACTTAGTTTAGAGTTTTATGAGCGCGATTCGATTATTCTTCATTTATGTCAATCAATGTGATTTTTGTTGCGTGCTTTTAGTTAGGCGCAGGATGCGCACCACCCTTAAGCGTTCTGTTTAAATAGTAAAACGGAAGCACACACACACACACAAATACGGAGGACTGCCAAAAAATCTGGAAATTTAATATCATATCAGAATATTGTTATTGTTATTGTTGTTGTTGTTTTTGATGCCTTGGAGTCTCTGCTTTTGTCGACTGTCTGGGCGGCTCTCACTTCCTGCTTAGCTGAACGTATCCTTTTTGCCAATGTGATGGAAAAAATGTTGAGGCAATCCCTTGCCCCGTGCCCTGCTTCTGTTGATTTTCATTTCATTTCCCAGCTATTCGCTGTAGTTGTTTACATCCGCAACTTTATTATAGCTTTTGGCTGAGTTGCAACTGTTTGTCTGTTTTGTCTGTTTGTCTGTTTGTCTGTTTGCTCTATGCTTATGAGGGTTAGGCCAATGCGTCGTATTAGCAACGTCGTCAGGGCAGCTGCCCAGAGACAGCAGCAGCAGAAGAAGAAGCAGCAGGTTGGAGGGTAAAATATGGAAGTACTTAGAGATGAGAATTCTAAGAGCCATAGGTTTTTATGGATTATGAATTGGTTGGCTCGCCTCTGCTATGGGAAGCGAGGCAGTTGCCGAGAGTGTTTGCTTAGATTAGTAGCTACTTTTAATGGAACTGCGAGCTGCCATATAGATGATGGCTGTGATGGCTATGATAGCTATGTGATATGCAATTCTGAAGAGACTTTTCCTTGGCTGCCAAGCAGAATCGCTTTATATGCCTTACAATTA